CCTTCATATTTAGCAATACCAATATATCTACACCCAACTTGTAGGGTACTTGCTTGGAAGAATAATCAATAGATTGTGCGCATAAGTCCTAATATAGATTGGTATTGGGAACTTGCTTGGAAGAGTGATACTATACTACCAAAAACTGGAGTAGTGAGAGAAATGGAGATATGCAACTATGGGCTGTGGTAAAGAATTATGTCTTAACTAGAATTGGAAGCACCTCTGGCACTAGTGGAATAACTATAGAAGACTACTTGGCGTAAAGAATGTAATCTACCCCTGTATATCTAAAGATACCAATTTGAAGCTCTGGTTACATCTATATGAAAGTCTATGATGAAAAAGAGTTATGTAACAGCCTAACCTGTGATTCAACCACCCGTGACCCATCTCTCGGTAACAAGTTACCTGTAAATCATGATGCAAGCCCGTGACCAAGTTTTGACCCATAGAGAGTAATAATTAGTTATTAGTATGTGCATAAACTATGTAGTCATCGAATAGTTAACATTAGTAATATTATTAGTACGAATGCGCATGAACTATGTAGTCATTGATTAATATTACCATCATGAATTATGTAGTCATATCAATTAGTTAGTAAATTAGTATGCGCATAAACTATGTAGTCATCGAATAGTTAGTAATAGAAGTATTGATGAACCAAGGTATAAAAGCCGTAACAAACCTTTACTGTACAAATCAGTCTGTTTAATGTAAATAAACTATTTGTTTTGCTTAAGCTTCCTATCCTGGCCTTGCTGTTACAGTTTGAACAGACTAATTTTTAAAAAAAACCTTGCCCTCAACTCCCTTGCCTTGTTATATTTAATCTCCAATAAATAATAATAATAAAAAAAAAAAAAAAAAAAGAAAAGAAAAGAAGGGGAAAAGCAGAAGCAGTTCAACAGCCCCATACTCTATCAATTAATAATAGATGGCCAACCGGATCTCAACACAATACTAACCGTATTAAACCAACTTCAGTTAGACAACCAAACCCTTCACCAAGAAAACGCAGAACTTAGAGATGCTCTTAATCAATTTCGCATCCAAGGAGTTGACAATAAATATAAGGAGCCCAAAGTAAGCCTCCTAGATAAATTCGATAGCATACGAAGTAGATTCTAAGGATTTCTGAACCAAATTCGCCTTGTTATACGGATGCAGCCAAACTGTTATCCTGATGATCGTACACAGGTGGGCCTCCTTGGAAGCTTGTTAACTGGATCAGCTTTAGCTTGGTTCGCACCTTTGTTGGAAAAGCAATCTAAGCTTCTAGAAGACTTCGGGGAACTGGTCAAAGAGTTTGAGGCAACGTTTGGCGACGCTGACAAGTTCAGAACCACCCTAACAAGATACGAAAACTTGTCCAAGGATCTAGGCCAGCCTCAAACTACGCTTCTGAATTTAGACAGATTGCTAGTGACCTGGACTGGGGTGAAGCAGCACTGGTCGACCAGTTCAGAACCGGGTTCGAGATGATATAAAAGACTTACTTCTTACCATAGAAGACCCCACCTCATTAAATGATGCAATTTCAAAGACAGTACATTGTGATAATAGGCTATTTGAATGAAACAAGAGCGTCCCAGAGATTCAGGATCAGAAAGACACCAAATCTCAGCACCCAGCAATCCAGCAAGCTCTGTCACAGAACCTATGCAAATTGATGCTATATGATATAAGCCACTGTCCGTTGGAGAGAAGAAACGAAGACGTATGAATAAACTCTGTTTATACTGTGGCGAGCCTGGCACATAGCTAAGTATTGTTTTAAAAAAAACCAATTCACGGTTCAAAATTGATGCTTTCATAGTCTCAGATGAGTTTTTGGGAAAAGGGGAGCCCCAGCTGTAGTAAGGAGGCTACGGCTGGATCAAGACATTAGCTTAAACCCCAAAATACTATCATCCTATTCGTCTAATGCCCTTACTCCTAAACTGAGTTTACACTTACCGGGCGGCTCCGAGGTTAAAATAGTAGCTTTAGTCGACTCTGGTGCCTCTGCTTGTTTTCTAGACACTACTTTCGCTCAAGAATGTAACATACCCATTTACAAAAAAGAACTACCATTTTCAGTAGAAGTGATCGATGGCAGGAAAATCTCTTCTGGGAATGTTACTCATGAAACGGGACCCTTACTCGTATACCTCCAAGGCCACTATGAAAACATGTTGTTTAATCTTATTTTATCACCTATTATTTAATAATCCTGGGCTTACCATGGCTTGACTTACATAACCCTACAATTAACTGGCGTGAACGTTCTATAATCTTTTCCGATCCAATGTGTAAAGAGTACCACGCGAGCTCAAGGTCTTTAATGTCTAACTCTCAGCAGGAACGAATATTCATAGTACTAGTTTTCACAGTCTCAACATCGAACCTGTGCATTACTAGCACCCATACAGTTCCTGAAAAATACAAAGACTTCAACGATGTGTTCAACATAAAAGAAGCTGATAAATTACTTGGAAGCCGCCCATATGACTGTTTCATTGACTTGTTGTCTGACAAACAACCACCGTGGGGTCCTATATATGAATTGTCCACTCGAGAACTTGAAGTACTAAGGAAGTACATTGAAGAAAACCTGGAAAAGGGGTTCATTCGTCACTCTAAGTCCCCAGCTAGCGCACCTATCCTCTTTGTCAAAAAGAAGGATAGCTCATTGCGTATGTGTATTGATTATCGAGGCATAAACCAAATCACCATCAAGAACCGCTACCCTCTTCCCCTAATACCAGAACTACTCAACAGGCTCACCGACGCCCAGATCTTTACTAAAATTAATCTGAGTGGTGCCTATAATCTTGTCCGTATCAGGCCAGGGGATGAGTGAAAACAGCATTCCATACTCAATATGGACACTTCGAGTATATGGTGATGCTATTTGGGCTCACCAATACCTAGCTATATTTCAACACTTAATGAACAATATCTTTCGAGACTTTCTAGATCGATTCGTAATAATCTACTTAGATGATGTCTTGATATACTCACCTAACACCGAAGAACACGTTTAGCACGTGCGACTGGTATTGGAACGTTTACACAACATGGCCTGTATGCAAAGCTAGAGAAATGTAAATTTGATAAGGAATGTGTCGACTTTTTGGATTACCCTATTACACCTGGGGGATCCAAATAGACCCCAGTAAAGTTGAAAGCCTTTTCTCATGGCCAACCCCAACATCCATTAAGATGTGCAAAGGTTTCTAGGATTCGCTAACTACTATCAGCATTTTGTTAACAATTATGCTCGCATAGTCACCCTCTTACAAATCTAACTCGAAAATAAAAAAAAATGGCCCCTTCTGCTGGCCGGCAGCAGCTCAAGAAGCTTTCACCTTCCTGAAGAAAGCTTTCACCTCAGCTCCAATTTTGATCCAAGCAGATCCTACAAAACC